GTTGCATTTCTAACGGATCACTTGACGCTGAGATATTCAAGAAAACGTGTTAAAAATATTCAATTAAAGCTTCGTAAACAATATATTTTCAAATTCCGGGATTGAACCAAATTGAGTTACACAAGATTCCAAATATAGATGTATGGTTACACAAAATCCTAAAAAGGAATTTTTGTCTATCAAAAATTGGAAAATCACTAAAAATGAGTTACATAAAATTCCCAAAATGGTAATTCATGTAACATCACTTCACATGAGTCAACTCAAGTCATCTCAAGTTGAAATGAGTCGAGTCAATTTATTGACTCGACTTGACTAATGACTCGACTCGAGTCAAATGAGTCAGAAAATTTTTGACTCGACTTGACTCAAACTCGAGTCAACTCATTTGACTCGCGTATACGATTTCATCAAATTTACATATTCAAGTTCTATTACGAGTTTTACGTTCAGGGACGCAGTCAAAAGAAGAAATCGATAAGTTGTACAAATTTAATTCATTAATAATACCTTAAAAATATATAATGCAAGGTCCATATTTTTATATAAATCTGATTTAGTAATTAATTTAATGATGTTGGTTAATTAACAATTGTAAAAAAAAAATATCTTATCGATTAACCAATTCAATTAACTATTTCGCTTTTTTATATTTGTTATGATAAAATTTATTAATAGAGAACGAAGATTATATCTATTAAAAAATCATTAATGTTAGTTAATAAATAAATCAATTTTACTAAAGTCTATTATTATATTATATTATAAGTATTATAAGTGCAGTAAAAAATTTTTAACATATGAAATTTTTGTCCGGGTAGCCGGGTTGTGAAACTAATAAAAATACTAAATAAAATTTTTTTGATTAAAAATTTTTTACTTCTAAAAATAAAAACCCGTGCAGCCAGGCCACACAAAGCTAATTTTAGATATGAAAACCAATAATATTATTTTGTTACGCCTAATCTTAACAAACCTAAAGCATATAATGCACTTTGAAGAAGAAAATTTCTTTCATGAACTTTTACTCCTTGAATATTATGTTCAATCCAATGCTTTGTCGTTTTCAATTACTCCTTTTTATTAAAATAAAAAAGAACAGTCTCATTATTTAACTGTTTTCACTAACAGAAGACGTCTAAATGAGTAAAAAATTCAATTAACTCTTCGTGTTCCCAATACTGAACTGGATTATCAGTAATCTCAAGAATTCGATTTTCCTTTGTAGTGTCAGGTCCAAAACCAAATAAAAAAAACTTATAATGTTTATTTAGAGATGTGAAAATCGTTTTATTTGCAAGTTCACTGGACATTCCTATAGGGAGAGATCCAGATTCATCAGTCGGACAATCCATGTGGCTTACTTAAACATGACAACATTTTCATACCCAAATCTCAAAACCAAGTTTCAACTATCCAATTATGCTTCATGGCAAGTGTTGTCATTGATTCATAATCACTATCACTGGCCACTAATGCAATTGTACCGGGCTTTTTGGTAAGCATTACTTCAAATATTGAGGACACCAATGCCATATCAACTTTCTTTTCACAATTTTAAGAGTTTTGATCATATATTATTACATGGAATTCCTGATCCTGAATACAGTTCCAAAGTGTATCATTAGGTAGCAGACGTGATCTGACAACTATCAGTGCATTCCCCAACTTACGTTTACCTTGTACAGTTGCAAGGAGTAGATCATGGTCAATGCGAAACTGGTTAAAGCATTTTGAATTTCTGTTGTGATCAAATATGCCAATTTTCTCGAGCATGCCAATAGGGTATTTTCCTTCGATAAAAATATTAGAGTTATCAACAAATATATAAACTGGCTTAGGATCTTTGCATAGCTATTATTTTTTAGTTAGTTGTGGTAAGATTTATTTAAATGTGGTATTATATAAATATATGAGCAGGAATAAGATTAGCAAAGAATATAACCTCTAGCTGATTATCAATTTTCTTTACATTTTCTTGGTTTTCCTCTTTTGCTTTTGTTGAATAAATTGATCGACTAGCTCTCAAGAATGCAAACCATTGAACAATAGGACTAAAATTAATCTTCTTTCTCGCAAAGGTACCAAAAAGTGGAATAGTTATATTTTGGCGAAATAACGAAAACATTTTAAAAAAAGTTTCTGTCGAATAGGATTCTGCAATACATTTTTTATAAGCTATATTACAATAACACGTGACTGAATTTCAGTCTCTTGAATCCGTTATCCAACAAATTGAGAAAACTTGATATATCCAATATTTAAAATAGCATAACTAATTTTAATACTACTTTTAAATTTTTTTGGTTCAGAAAGTTTGCTCATATTTTTAGAAAGTTTTTGTATATGAATAGTTACTGCTTGTTATTTAGACACCATTTTTATTATCAATTCAATCAATTTCTATGATTTTAGCTGTTTAACAGAATTCATTTAACAAAAACTGAAATGAATCATTATATGAATTTGTTAATGAATTGTTAAATGAAATTTGATTAATGAAATCTATAACGAGTAATAAATGAAATTTGTTAACGAATTGTTTAATAAAATTTGTTTAACGAAAACTAAAATAAATCGTTTAAACGAATAATTATATGAATTTGTTAATGAATCATTAAACAGAATTCAATTAATAAAATCCATAATGAATTGTTAAATAAATTTATTAATAAATTGTTTAACAGGATTTGTTCAATGAAATTCATAATGAATCATTATAATAAATTTTGTAATAAAATATATAACAAAATTCACAATGAATTATCATAGTAAACTATTAATGAATTTCATTACAGATTGTTAACAAATCTTGTTCATGAGACTTGTTAGCAAATTGTTACCAATTAGTAAATTCTAATTGAATAATAATCATCAATCAGATATTAATCTGATTAGTAACTAATTATTAATTGAATCCAATTTGTTACTATTAAATATATAGTTTTAAATTTATTAAAATAAGGTTAAAATCAGATTAGAACCCGATTTATGTTATTCTACTTAATAATTATAAATTAGGTATTAACTGATTTATATCTAATTATAGTATCTAATGATTTTTATCAATTGATTGCTGATCAAAAAATGTGATCAATCAGGAAGATATCTGATTAATTAATATTTGACTATGATTAAAGATGGATACCATAATTAAGAAGTTACAACTTGAGTTGTAACTTGGCTGTAACTCCTTGTAAATTTATTTTAATATAAAAATTCATAAATAGTTGCAACTAGTTAAAAAATTTTAAAAATAATTATTGGAACCATCTTTACTTATTATAAATTCTCTTAATAAAGTTCTAAAACTATTTTATTTATAAGAAGTTTGATAATATAAAAATAATAGATATAAAAATAAATAAGAAAATAAAATATTGCATATCTGCCATTTCTTAATATCTCTGGATCCTAAATTTTAAAAATTAAGATTCTGGATTTACATATAAGTTTAATATTTATTTTTAATAAATATTTAATTAATATATCATCATTAGAAAGTAAAATATACTGCCAGTAAAATAAAAATCTTCTTTAGAACTAGCAAATTTATTAGGACTTTTAGAATCATTTAGAACTGTTTAACATCCCTACTAAATATTATATTTAAATTCAATATATGATAATAAGTTTAAAACAATATAAAACAGATAAATTTAAATAAATAATTAACAAATTAAAGTTACAAAAGTATATTTGCTCTTAGTCAAATATAGATTAACTTATAATTATTAATTCTAAATATTATATAAAAATAATAAGCTTTATTCAGGTTTTTTTTAATGAAATTCAAAAAAAAATACTGAAATTAATATGAAAAAGAGTGAGTGAAAATAATGGAATAAATAAAGAAAAGAATGATTAGTTAAAAGTATAAAGAGTTATAAAGATAGAAAAGAATGATAATAGTTGAAAAATGAGCAACTATCATTATAGTTGGAAAGAAAGTAAAAAGAAGATTTTTATGGATTAGTTAATGAAAAGTTGTGAAGAAGAGAAGTTGATGATTCTAAAAAATATAAATATAAATTTATATTAAAATAATATTGATATTAAATTAAATAAATTTCTTTACTTAATTTCTGATAGTCAATCTTACATATTTTATTTCTTAAATTTGAAATGCTAAAAAACATATTATTACAGGGTGATTATCCCTTAGATTGTCTAGCAGGCAAATTTGCCTGCAAAATTAAAAAAAATTGTTAAAATATTAAATATTAATTTTAGTAATATTATTACTATATAAAAAATATAATTTAATATATATCATATCAACTTTATTAACAAAGATTTTAAGCTTTTTAAAAGGTTTTTAAAATAATTTAATTATAAAATTAAGTTTCAAAAAATTTATTATAATAATTTTTTAAAAATT